CTAATGGCCTTTATTTATGGGGACCATAAATCATATTCAAATAGGACACTGCATGAAATGTCGGGGTTCTAGGAACCAAGTTTTTGTAACGAATCGACCGAATCGTTGTTTTTCAATTTTAACTATTTGGCCCACGGGATGAAAAAAAAGAAACGTTATTGCAATTTTGAACAAGTTAGCGATCATTCTTCATTTTTCTTATTTATGTCTACGTGTGAAAGACATTTAGCGTTGAACTTGAATAAGCGCTAATATAATACACAGCCAAATTTAATACATTGACAGTATTTAATATTGCTTGTATCCAGTAGATGTACAATGCAGTCTCCGTTAGGAAAAAAATTACATATATTTGAAAACCGGACCTTATAAAAAAAATATTAATGTGTATTAAATAAAAAATAGCTGTGGCCTATTTACTTTTCCCAGGTACAATTTACCTATGTCTTATGGTGACACCTATCTTTATGTCATACTCTAGAAGATGAATTAGATACTTCGCATTAAATAAGACCAGGTTTTCGTAGGGAAAGAACTTGTTTTCTACTTCCGGAGTAGAAACGAAAATTCTGACAAATTTAATGATAACAACTGAACATCACCTATCATAACAACTGGACATCACCTATCATAACAACTGGACATCACCTATCATAACAACTGGACATCACCTATCATGTTCTATGAACAGGGTGAAGATAACGAACTGCAAAATACACCAAAAAATCTATAACAATGCATTTCTGAAGAAGATATGAAACAAGGACCCCTGAAAATTCTATAGCTAAGATAAGGTGCCTAGGAGAAGTATGTCTGGCCATACCCGCAGTGAGCTTTTCGATCAAGTGGACGGAACATTCTATAGTCAGATTCAGTACAAAATCAAAAGCTCAAAAATTTGCAAGGAACAAGCCAGTCAAAACAAGACCCAATGGTTGACCATGCCTGACAAGAGGATGCACTAAACCAAGACCCCAGACGAAACCGCCGAAATCCCTGCAACACCAACTCATCCGTCAGTAGCCCGCCTCTATTTAAAGACCACTCGCACTCAGAGCATGCTTTTGCGTATCGAACAAACTTGGAGGTGCAAACACCACATACAAGACAGTGTTAACGGATGTTAACTAAACAAATAAGGAAAACCGACGATGGAAGTTGAAGTCACCTTGTTTGTCATACAATTTAGCAAATACACGTAGTCCAAAGTTATGAAACATATGGAGATTACGAACAGTATTCAAGATCAAAAGTTCATAAAACAATACAAAATAGGAGCAGAGCAAACACGGACCTCCAAAACCTCTGAGGTGGGATCAGGCACCATGGTGGAGTGAGAATCCCCTGACGACCGGTCACACCCGCCGTGTGCCCCTTGTCAAGATCAGGAAATAAAGGAAAAATCCGTCGTCAATTCAGTGTATAAATACCGTAATAGACTAACAATTAGTATGAAAAACGTCAGTCAGCATTTGACTCAAAGTCAAATTGTATTTGCTGACAAGGTCATTGTATTGACCATAAAACTTACGAATGGATGACTTTAAACGAGACTGCTGATATTCTTGTTGCATCAACTTATTTGCCACTAATTTACCACGCTTTAGAAATTGTTTATGCGTAGAGCATGGTCTTGCGTATCGAATCAACTGCGATATATAAACTCCGTATGCAGGTGATGAAGGTATATTGCTGCATAAGTAAGGGAAGTTACGATTGTAAAGTTAAAGTCATCATGTTTATCACAGAGCTTAGTTGTTAGATTACCATTAACGTCTTTTTTCAAGTAAAATATCCAAATATGAAGCCTATGTCTTAGATTCTGTGGTATCTTTTATCTCAAGGTTACCAGGATATATCGTATCAACATAAGAATACGTCGTCGATATATTTAGATGTCGGGTTTAAGGCCACAGCAATTGTTTTCTTCTTTTCACTTATAAGACTTTGGACAAATTCTGCTTCATATGAATACAAAAATAGATCTGCTAATAACGAGACGCCATTGGTACACATGGAAATTCCAAGAGATTGTTGGAAGACATGGTCTCCGAAAGCCACATAGATATTGTCAATCAGAAACTCAAGCATCTTTTTGATATCAATTTCAGAGTACTTGTGTGTACAATCAGAATGTTTTTAACAAAATAATTTTGCAAATGATCAATGGCAAGGTAAGTAAACATCCAAATATATGAAAGACTGTGGCATCTTTTATTTCATGTTCAATATTAATGAAAGTTACTTTTAATCATTAAATATAGCAAGTATCTAAATGTCGAATTGAAGACCACTGCACGTGTTTTTTTCTTCTCATTCTTCTCATTAAATTAATAGTTCTTGTATTAATTCTACTCGATGGAATGCCAACATTTCTTTTTTTTTTGAAGATCTGGTCTCCGAGAACAACATAAATATTAACAAAAATTAAAATATAATTCTGATTCTACATTATAGAGTATTATAAATTAATATAAAAAGGATGATGGGGTTTCTGATTAACGACTCCATGCAGTCTTTGGAGACCAGAAGCCCTTTTCATAAAAAAATCTTAACCCTAAGATTAAAATTTGACAACAGTGTAATATTTTTTTCAAGAAAGATATTTTTTTTCTCTTAAAATATTATTCACAATGTAATCTAAGTGTATACAAATAAAAGACTTATCTTAATCGTAAGGTGTTTTTGTGAAAATTGTCACAGAACCAAGATCAAAAACTATGAACAGACTTAAGTCAAAATTTAAAACCAGTACAACTTTTGAAATAATTTTGATAATGAGAAATATTTGAATTTAAGTGTTCTAGAGATTTGTAAATTTTTAAGCAAATACGTCAAGCAGAACTTTTTGACTTCGTGTATTCTTAGTTTATGGTCTCCAGGCCAGGTCTTCCCCAAGAAAGAGTTGATTTTTCAATGGAGACTAACTTTCTTCCTTTTTAGCAGACTTATTTTTATTCCTACGATACAGAATTTATTTTTTAAAATTTTTACATGAGAAATAGAAAACACTTACTGTGGCCTTCAACTCGACTTTCCGATAAAGTATAACGACGACCCATTATCTACTTACATCAGTAACTTCCATTCATATGTTTACTCACTATCACAGTGAACTTGAAATAAAAGTTACTATACAGAGTCTGCCACACCTGTTTTTTATGTGGATTTTTACTGACTATAAAGACAGCTAAACTTTATTACAACGGAAATGATTTCAGCTTTTCCATCGTCAGTTTTCTTTATTTGTGTAGTATTACGTAAAATGGTGTTTACATCTCCCAATTTCTTCGATACTCAAGATCATACTCTGAGTACAATTTTTAAATAGGGGCAGGCTACTGACAGTACACAGTTATGGAATGAGTACGAGGGAAATAGCAAATTTATGGTTCCCCGAGGGAGGAAATAGTTTCCTGCCGAGAGAGACCATAAATTTGCTATTTCCCGAGTTCATATTCCATAATTGTTTTATTGTACCGAAACAATCATAGGCGAATTATTTTTTTTTTTACCAGATATTCCGATTTTAAAAAACATAATCACAAATGCATGCAGTTTAACAAATTGTATGATAAGTAATGCATCGTGTCCGAGAACAATTACATTATTTTTTCAAAGTATTTTCACTGACATTTCGAAGAATTATCCTTGTCTCCATTCTACTAGAATTCAAGTATGATTTTGATACCCCATTTCTGGAATTTCCTCCGTGTAAATGAGGAAAGGTGACTTTTGAAAAGTTGTTGTCATCTCTTTTATCGTACTGTTTAGTTGTATAGTTTGGTTCTCATCGTCTATAGATAGTAAAGCATCCGAATATGAAACAAATGTGGCAGACTCTGTGATCACTGTGACCAGAAATTTAGTCGCGAATCAGATAGATTCTTATTCAAAACCGAATCTTTGATTTCAAATATGTAGAATAAATCTTGCCAAAATTGAGCCTATCCGCTTTCGTATTAAAGTACTCAGAATATGTGTCTTTCTAATTTTCATATATGAAAATATGTATAAAATATTTTTATTAAATTATCTCAATTTATTTGTTATGACAATCATATTGTATCACTGTTTGTATAATAAGGAATAGTAAGGTATTTGATTCATGGCCTAGTCTAACTTTCAACTTACACTCTTACTCTAATTTGTAAATTAATGTCTTTTTAAAGTCTTTTATTTTTAAAGTGGTTGGTTTATTCTTAAAGTAGTCAGTATGGTAACTACAAATAAAAAGAGAATAGTTTATATCACAAGGAATTCTGCAACTTGGACTGTTGTGTATTGCACAAATCTTCCTGAATCCAGTGAAATTGACACCTATTGAGAAAATTACGGGCAAAGGAAGGTCTAGAAGATAAAATATTACTGAAAGAAGGGTGATCACAAGCTTTCTTTATTCCTTTAAATGCAACAAAGAATGAAAAACAAGATGTGTTTGTGAAACACTATGTGCTCGGCGGCAACAAAGTTCAAAAAAACTATTTTTAGTAGATAGGTCAAAGTCACAAGGTCATTGACCGTGGAGTCATTTGAAAGAACTTTATTAGTGGAGTAGGCATACCAAATATGAAGTCTCTATCTCTCAAGGTTCAAACGTTATGGCGGAAGTTTGAAAAAGCTATTTTTAGCACATACGTCACAGTCAAGGTCACAAGGTCATTGACCTTGGTGTCATTTGCAAGAACTTCATTGGTGGAGTATGCATACCAAATATGAAGTCTCTATCTCTCACGATTCAAAAGTTATGGCGAAGGTTAAAGTTGACAACAGACTGACAGACAAACAGATAAACAGACAGGACAAAAACAATATACGCCTCGGATCTATCGATCCGGGCGCATAATAACTGACGACTACTGTTGGTAATATTCTCTTGTATGCCGCTTTTATATGAACATGACTGATAGCAAGAATGAATCCAATATGCCACCATTATAAGATCGAAAGATTGGATATTTTCATTTTATTTTTTGTTTCATGATTAAGACAAACACATGTTATAGCTTTACAAACAATTTTATTCAAGTGCATCACTCAATAACATTCATATACATACACAAGAGACAATACAACCCAAATAAATTATTGCACCAACAAACATTAAAGAATTCATTCCAAACACTCTTAATAATATAACACACACACAATGTTCTGTGATATGAAAATGTAAGGCCTCGTTTGGCATGGAATGTCACTTAATCGACTAGTTCTACAGGAATGTATGTTCGCAGACATTGACAATGATGACTGTTGAATTAAAAAAAAATCGGAAGTTTCAACAAGCCTTCCTTTTACAATGTTTGCTTGTCATATTGTGGTATAGTACCTATATTCTTATTTTCTGGACGAAATAACAAGTATAATGCCCACTGTATCTTTTATGATTTTTTTTTTGGAAAAAAGTTATGATTCTACATGAATGAGAAACCTTGAAACCTGTTTCAAAATTTTTATTTTTTTTTTAATCGTTTCATCGAGTGGATATATTTAACCTAGATTTTAGGAACATTTTAAAAGTTAAAATTTTAAAGTTAAAATTCTTTTACTTTAATGCTTATCTTGTTTGGCTGAAAGTGTTGAGATGTGTTTGAAAAATAATTGAGAATTTTAACACTTTTGACTATATTACTAGGTATCCTACTAGGTATTTTAAATAGCAAGCCATATGTTCGATAGCTAACATATCAGGTATCTGACCAGATCCACTATAGCTTCAGTCCTATTCAGGTGATCCAGACAGGTGGTCCAATAAATCCCTAGCATCCTCAAACAGGATTTTAAAAAAACAGTCGGATTTTTATGAAACAGATCAATGGTTAAAATCATAATAAGTGGTACATTATGACTATTTGAAATTAACAATGTCAGCACCATATTTGAGTAAAGACAGATATCCTCTCATAAAAATATCTCCATATAAATAATAATGTGATAAATAAAAATGCGAAAACTACTCTTCATATGCTTTCTTCATATCCACGTGACTATGTAAAATTTCGTATCTTTCACTTTCATTGTAAAATAAGCAAACGCAATATAACGTCCCACAATAACAAGGATCAATGTTGTCAAGGGGGGTGTCACTAATTTAGCACGATGATATGATCAAAATGTCCAAGACTTTAAACCCTCCTACACATGGTACAAGAGTTCTCCGAAAAGGTTGGCATATAACATCAATTTTTAAGATGATTCGTCACTGGGAGAGAAATAAACTTGGTGAACTAGATCTTTCAGCGCATCTTTCTTTTAAGACTTGTGACATGATGAAGTATTAATGATTTATAAGACTAGACTGTCACGAAGCATACGTTTTGTAGAAAATTAAAGCACTATTCCGCGGTTAATGACGTGACCAGCACTGACCCTAAGTACCCGTATGAAGAATCAGGTCCTCGGAATCCCTCGGCGCTTTTCCCTCATCATTTGATGATTTTAGTACCTTTAAGTTTGTAACGATTCTAGAAAAAGTCGTCGACTATAACATCGCTGACTTCTAGTCCTTTTTCAAGACATTTAGAAATTTCTTTAAGAATAATTACAACTCGTCTGTCCAGCGCTATCAAATGGGGTTCCAATAGGATAGGTCGTACGCTATCTTTGTCGAGAGATTTCCTAAGCATGCTACTCAGTCTCTCCGGTCCTATATAAAATTTGGACAGTTTGATGAATGTAGAAAATCTTATTACGCAGCACTGAATCAATGGAGCCAGAATAGAGAGGTCGTCTTTCTTCGACTTACCAAACCTGAAGTGTACAAATAAAAACATTCATCACTGAAAGTAGGTAATTACAAACAATAGGTACATATTATACATTTATTGCATGATAGTGAGGGAAATATGAAGACTTATTCAGCCAAGAAAAATCATATTCCCCGAGGGCTTCGCCCGAGTGGAATATGATATTTCTTGGCTGAATAAGTCTTCATGTTTCCCGAACATTCATGCAATGAATTGTATATTATACCGAAACAAGCAAAACCTTTGAACTAAACATAAACTTTCAAATTTGGCACCGCTCTCAAATTCACTTTCATTTTTAACAAAAAGTTGCTATAAAACCCTTTGGTCAACACATTATCATCAATTTTGTGACGTAAACCAGGTTATTGTGACGTCTACTATACTCTCGGGAGTTTTCTTCAAACGAACGATAATTTTTGCGGGAAAATGCACTAAGTATCCGAAGAGGTGGAATATGATGAAAAGCATGCCGACGGCCGGGAAATATGAGGTTTTACGGCCCGATCACGTGATAACTTAGAACCAATCAAATAAAGCGTTGTTTGGAATATTTATAATGAGGTATAATAATATAACTTAAGGCAATGTTTCTACTTACGCTCGGCCATTGTCTAAGTGCATGTGGAATGTAACGTTTCCGAAATCTCTGAATGTTTCGTAATGGTGACGATCAAGATTTCCTGCAAAACAAACATCAAAGATAATGTTTAGGCTATTTGACAGAATCTCTGCAAGAAACTTAAAGGATCTTTGACTGTATATGTCTGCGTGTTAAAGCAACATTTAATAGGGAAAAATATCAATTTTACAAAGGGCTTTCTGATGGACAAAACAGACTACTTAGAGGCAGATTACTTTCTTAAGTGGTACAGTATATTGTTAAATGTCGCATATGCACACTTGATGTATTAGTTTACAGATCATATTAAATAAGATTAGCAACTTGTAGCTAGAGAAGAAATCTCCTTGGAACCGGTTGTTAAGATGACAAGACTTTAATTAATATGGAAATAGAATTCAGTGTTTTACCAATAACACAAGATCGATGCATAATTTCAGGAAGCCATTCTTCCTACACCGGAAAAAGCTGAGTACAACTGTTGACAGGGCTTATATTAATTACCCACGGTTTGTACACGCTGAAGAAGAGCATCATTTGACGATGCTATAGCAAACCCTAACGGATATGTCATAAGCAACCACTTCTTTACTTCACTTTGTAGTAGAATAAACGAGCTGTAACGTCACCGCGTTATAGACACAAAGTGAAAGATATTGATTTCATATTTAATGGCTGGGGTGTAAAATTCATAGAATTGCCAGAGAAAAAAACTTGGTTTATCAAAGTACTTTTAGTATCTCTGTCGTCATCTTACCTGTTAAAAAGTCAAATATATGCATATCTATAAGATCCTGTAGTCTTCGTTCGTTGTTGTAAGGGGGCTTAGTTCTGACCTTGTCACAAAGGTCATCATAGACTTCCCAGTATGCTTTGCGATGTTTGCTGTATGACCTTTTCCAAGGGTTCCTCCAGGTTTTTCTCCTGGCTATTTTTTCTGGGGGTAAGAAAGCTGCCAGGGAGGCTTCTACCGTGTCGGGGTTACCACAGATCGCGTGACCCGAATCACAGTAGTAAGAGCACGAACCGTGGAAGCAAACATTGTTGGCTGAAATTTAAAAAAGAAAGACAAATCTTACTTGTTAGCCTTCAGGCAATGTGGGGGGGGGGGGGGTAAATAGGATTTTTTTTTTAAATCTTAGAACAAAAATTTAATGGCACTTACCAGGTGAAATGAAGAAAGTTTTGGCGAGTTTTCGATCTGCCAGTCTTTTGATCTCTGACGTCATGTTAAATCTTCTTCCTGTTACGGGCGGAACTCGGTAGAAAGCCAGTGCCCTAAAAGAGAGAGACGTTATTAATTGTTACAGTTTCTGTTCCATTACTTGGCACTGAAATATTGTTGTTGACTTCATTTCCCATTGCGTTTTTAATTAAGAAATATTGTATTATAGTCAATTTGATACTCAGTAACCAACGTGTGAGGTGTAAACGTTATCCATAACATGTATCGTGTGTTCAGCATAAGAATGCATCATAAAAACTGGCATTTATTAATGAATTTCTATTATATGCCATAGTCATTGAGAAATAGAAGATAATTACCTGTCTAAGTGGAAAGCCCCTATTTCAGCGTAATGGCGCTCATAGTCGCTAAAGTAAAAGTGATTTGGCAACGTTTCAATATCCCGAGGAAATCTGAAAATGATAAAAACATCATAGAAATAGTACCTGAATAAAAGAAATCTATGACTAAATCTTCAATAATGTTTCCATAAAATTAAATCTTGTAAAGTAAATCAATCTACACGACTTTTTAAATTAACAGTTGTCTATAAATTGCAATTCAAAGTTGCATGTCATCAACTTAAAATTAACCAAATAGGGTTAATTTGTACAGCTGATTTAGCTTGTGTCTGTAATTAAGAGTATTTATTGTGATTGATAACGTCTATATATCTTTTACTTCAGTTCAAACCTTTCTTCAATCCTTCTTTTTACAACATGAAGCGTCAAATAAAAGCGAACTAACCCATGTGATCACAGTCGAAGACAATATGTTCAATAGTGTCGAATATTTTTTATCCAATCATTTTATAAGTTGCTGTAGTTTTTTATTCTTTTTTTTCTCTTACAAAACTGCAAATTTCTTTTGTAAAGAAATCATTTTTAGAATCAATGCATATAATAAAGTCTTCTCATGCTCTCGGATATTTTACATGCATAAAATGTTATTTTCTGAAAAAAGGAGGTTCTATATAAATGACGAATAGATTCTTTATTGCTAGTGTTGTGCTTGAGGAATCGGAATAATTAGGTAATAATTTAACATGCATCTTGGAGGAATGTGATTAAATCAACCCCTTGGTGCATCAAGCACATGAAATATCGCGGTTGGCACATTTAATTAACTCGGTAGAACATCCGTAAGCTTGGATTATTTAAAATCTGCACATCATCACTGGCTGCTTCTCAGGCAATATTAGAACGGTTCGCTGATAATAGCTTAAATATCAAAATCTCAAACCGAAAATTAAATCAACATTCAATCGCTTGCAATACAAAGTTATTCATCCTTCACACGTGTCCTTTTCACAAAACTTGTTGAACTAATAATTTGTTGCAGTAGATTTACCTTTTTTAAAGAAAAGGATCGAATATTATGTTTCAGCATATTGAAAAATAAGAAATTAAAAAAACTGATAGGTACATGTATACTCAAGAGACGGAGATGGGCTATATCTCGATGAGAATATATCTCAAATTCAATTTTGCATTTAATTTAGAAGAGCTTAGTTTTTCCTTTGGTTTTGGAAAAGAAATTAAAACATTTAATAGAACATTGGAAAAGCCACAGATTTCTGTGCTGAATCTGGAGAAACTACTCTAAAAATGGACACTATCAGGTTTATATCATTCCTGTACGATGTTTGATGTCATTCTTGGTCCGCTTGATTGACAAAGAATGGAATGATATTGGTAATATGGTATACTGAATAAATGTACATACCTCATTGGTTTAAATAATGCCTGCCCCTCATCTTCGAAGGTGATGATCAACTTGAGCTGCGTACCGCCATCTTTTTGTTCTGTAACAAAGAATGCACGTTTTCAGCTCTATTGAAAAATTTTAAACTATGGCTGGCAATTATGTCTCGTAAGATCACCTGGTGTTCGTTATCTTCACCTTTCATTTTATATTTGCCTGTCCATTTTGTAGTAATGTTATCAACAGTGAATAAGAACAAATCTTAAATTGAGGCAAGCGATAGACAAATAAGTTATTGTTTCAAGTATTTCAACTACCACAGTTGGTAAGTTTTTACCTGAATTTTTCTTACTATTTGTTATTTCACTGTTTTTATGCTAAAAATGACTACGGAATATGCTATTTACCTGCTTAATATTTACAGAGGGCTTAAGGTGGGTGTGATCAGTCGACAGGGGATGTTTACTCCTAAAGGGTACCTAATCCCACCTCTGATGTTTTAGGTCTCCGTGTTTTTGCTGTTTTGTGTTTTGTTTATGTATTTATGAGATTTATTACTGTTATTACTTTTTCTTTGGGGAATTGCATTTTTTATTCGGGGAAATTTATATAGAAGTTTACACAGAGATAATGTACATTGTAACATACAGTACGAACACAGTTCAGAAACAATCAACTCACCACTAGTATAATCGTACCCACTGTAACTTAATATTCTTATTTCACACAAGAAGATGGGGGGAGGGGGTTAAGGCAGGCAGAATGCCTATAGCGCGACAGATAAGAAATGAAAACTAATTTAATCTCAATTATATCCAAATTTTATTTCATATTTCATCTAATATTAAAGTATACTTAATGTAAAATCTCTATAATTTACAAAAATCTCACAAAGACTGAAAATATTTGCCTATGAAAAAGCATACACAGACTTAAAAGAAGAAAAACGATCATTTTTTCATACTTTAACAAAATTTTTCAATATGAGTTGGTCTTCGCTCCATTTTTTTTAAAAGGTAATCCTAAAAGTTTGCGATAAAATAAATATTTTTTGGTTTACAAAAAAATGGAGCGAAGGCCCACTATACCTTAAAAGTACACTTTTATGACAAAACATTCGCATCTTTCTAAGAAATACTTCAAGTCCATTCAGTCTAGGGTCATATCACAAACATGATTTAATAACCCTAATCATCTTGAGCCATGTAGCATAGTGGTTAGCGTGTTAGTCTCAAAGCAGTATGACATTTCTGTATTTTATTGCTGGGGTTCGAATCCCACGTATACCATCTAATATTTTTATAAACGAAATTTTTAAAGAGATTTATTTCTCTCAGAAAATGTTTTTTCTCTCATAATTTCATAAATTTCAATAATGACAAGTAAATTTAAATACTCAATTTACATATCAAATTAGATTTCTTAATATCTGACGCTGTAGGCATTCTTCCCGCCTTATCCCCCCATCTTCTTTGTTAAATAACTCACTAATGTGATAAATGTTGTATATTTTATTTTTAATTATGAGAGTAGTTTAAGAAAAAAAAACCCTTACGAAAAGTAAGTCATTTCAAGCAAAGGTACTTTTACAAAATATTTAATATTTAGTTATTGTGGAAGATTGAATAGAATGGACGTTTTACAATACGAGAGCTTAGTTATATTTCTTTCGTAAACATGTATGTAATCTTTCTTCATTTATTTCGTTTTCCATTTGATTGCTACACAAAGTAATGGACTACACATAATTATTATTTGCAAAATTTTATTTTTCTGTCGGTATTCAATATACATAATTATTTTTAGCATCGCCTTTGGGAAATAAATGTGTTAACGTTTGTCTAGCGATTGAATTTTACTACAGCTTCATTTATCATTCTTCATTTATGTCGTCATTTGTCTTTTTCATAATGTAACAAACTGTAAGTCAAACGTACATTTAGACAGTTGTAAGAATTATTCACGATTTTATGCATGACTATTGTAAGTATATGAAATACTTGTTGCGTTTCCTCCATACTGAAATAATGTGTGCAGACTATGAATACATATTTCTGCATCTCTCTCTCTCTCTCGTTTTATACTCTCGTCTAGTACTTAATCAGTAAAGTATTATTGGTAATACCTACCAACATCTATAACGGTCTCTCTTTCCATGTCCGACATCAGGCCGTCAATGGCGGGGTCCTCGGGGTCATACATATAATACTGATTGATTCCTCTCTGAAATTTCTCCCAGTTATCTGACCCACCCCTGAAAATAAAAAGATCTGTTTAATTTGTCCACCTAGATAAAATATAAGAAGTTAAAAACGATATATTGAAAACTAAGTGTGTTTGATTTCTAAAGCCACTATTTAAAGGTCAGAGTGTGATGTGAACAAAACTAATAAAGCAATCTCTTAATTAATGTAAGAACAAATATTGAGCGAAATGAACGCCTTATAAGAAATATAATAAAATGTACAATAAAATTTGATCACAGCAAAATGATAATGATAATGCTACAATCGCTTTATTTTTCATAGCTGAAAATAGAAATTGAAGCCCTGGACTTTACTCAACTTACCAGTGAAAGAATTCTTCGAATCAAGGCATAATAAACTTATCTCTGGATATGAGAAACTGTTACGAGGCATTTTGTTCGCCAAAAAAAAAAATATAAACTAACTTATGAATATTCAGGTAATTAGCCACAATCCCTATATTGTTGTGAATTCACTTCATTCATATCATTTTTAAGCATTTCTAAATTTATGTATATTTTTTTGAAAATATTAAATCTCTCTATCCCACATGTACAACTGATGTTGACGATTTCTAAATCTATGTATATTTTTTAAAAATATTAAATCTCTCTATCCTGTACAGCTGATGCTGAGGATTTCTAAATTTATGTATATTTTCTTAAAATATTAAATCACTCTAACCCGTACAGTTGGTGCTGACACATGGGGTCAACGACGAATTGTCAGATACACAGGGCAAAATGTCTCATCTCTTTGGAGGATGTTTTAATTAATGTTCAGAAATGGCATATGCAGATATGACCTATTAAGTTTAGATGTAAAGGAAGTGTCCTTTATAAAAATTTCTTATGCAAAATTTGTAAATCTCTTCTTCTTTTTTTTTTTTTTTGGTAAAGATGCAGCAATTTGCAATGGAAACAATAATACAGGCCAATATTCTGTCTCCTGAACACTATATTTTTTTTCCCTTTTTCTTGCAAATATATGTATATATACTTTGCATATTTTTTGTTTTAACATATCTTACAATGATTTATAATTACGAAGGGACTTGACACAAGTTCTAAAAAACTTATTACGCATTTACTTTATTCTATTTTCCTGTGTCAACCGCTTTGCAAAATGCAAATTAAGAAGAGAGACTCAAGTATGCCATAAGAATGCATTTTTAAACCAAAGAAGGAAATTAATTGGATTACACTATGTATAAAAAAGATTCCTGAATTAATTAATCGTACACTGCGATAAAACAATTAGCGTCGCCATCCTTCATCCCTCGTCGGGTGAGAGCGACACTGAGAGACAAATGGCCGACTGAAGGAGGGCCCGGGGCCAGCGTTATAGGTCAATGACGTCCTTCCTAAGTGTCAATTCTAGCACAAGAATTAGTTACATGTGTACTAGGCGGTATTGGCCATTGTGCTGTGTGATTTAGAACAATGTATAATTTATACCAATGTTAATAAGATATTATTCCTACACAAATTATATACAGCCATAAGCACATGTTTCATTTCCAAGAAATGTATGAGCTGAAAGTTTTAGCTGTATATAATATTTTAAACTTTAATCTTTTAAAATTGATTTCAACTTAATTTTAATTTCGATACTATTCAAGAAGAATGCATTTTGAAAAAAAATTCTTTGTTCGATGCTTTCAGTGAAACATAAAGTAAATATTTACACAATTGTAAACATTTACATAGGCATTGAACAAATTTAAAAGTTTCACAAATAAACTAGGTTTAACTGTAAACTATAGTTTTAAACTAAGTTACTTCGTTAAGTATAGGCTATATTTAACTTTGTGACGAATGTTAATTTAAGTTTATCAGCGTTTAGCAACACCAATCCATAGTTTCACAAATTGTGAAAACAGATTTAAAATAACGGTTTGTAAACTATAGTTTACAAATCGTGAAACTGTATTTTATAATGTAATCGCAAATGAAATATAGTTTACATATCATCGCATTAACTATGGTTTACAGATATGAAATATAGATTAACGTTGTTAACTACATGTATAGTTTACGGTTTGTAAACTATGTTTACAACCGATAAACCTAGTTTAATATATGATTATCTCATTTTTGTGAATTTGGCGTGCCATAGTGAGGCATTCAGCAACACCAATCCACAAAACTTTAAAATGTTCAACCGGAATTATATTAAATATAAATTTACATAATGAAATTCTGTGATATTTCAGATGTAATTTGTTAACGTGTCATAAATATATGAGGTTTCGGTAGAACATTTGTTTCGGTTGAACTGCTCCTAAAGTGTAAATCTGGCTGCTTTCTTAACAGTAACGTTCTGTAAAGAAAACTTCTGAATGTCTTGCATAAAAGGTTAATAAATAATTAATAATCTACCACTTGCAAAAAAGTGTTTACATAAGACCCTGGCAATAAAAAGTAAGGGTCCTGCTTCCTTACAGTGAAAAGGTTTTCCATGTCTTGACGCGATTAGAGACACTTGTAAGAGAAGGCCGTTAGGGGCGTGTAGTGTTCCAGCAAGCTTATTTACCGAGTACACATCATCAGCCGAAACCCAGCATCGATTCCCATTGTACCGTGGCATGAAATTCATCTTGTCGGGATGATAATGACTTATTACGAATCATTTTCACGGGAATAAATATATAATTCTATAGTGGGGTTTCAATTGCTCTCCTTTCCCCCCATTATTGCTTGCACTTTGTGGACTCTTCAAATCGATGGAAAACTATTGCCCATTTCGTATCGACTTTAATTAAAGCTCGTTTGTGGTATACAAACATAAAATTCTTGCAGGTAATAATACATCAATACTTCAAACCCAGAACATACTTTTTAAAAAAATTATGCTGTTGTATTTAACTTCAAAGGACTTTGGATATATTGAATCGGTACCTTGAGAATCTAAACAAAAAATACAGAAAGAAAAAAAGGTGACGGGAAAAAGATGATAAAATTGAAGTCGACAAATTAGGTAGAAAGATTGTAGAAGAGTGAGTAAGATCGATGTCACAAGACGGGGACTGAGTGACTGGGTTCAGACATAATGGATAAGGGGATCCTCACCAGGCTTTAATGAATGGAACAAGAACTAATCTCATTACCTAATCTGTGAGAAAACCGATAGAATCAGTTGGGACATTCAACTTATTTATTTTGGGGGGAGAGAAGACTACAATTTATTGATATCCACGTGTCTGTGTTCCCCTCCCAAAGGATAAACAATTCTAATTCTGGCCTTGGGTACAAGTATAGTGCTGAAGTTATGCCATTCCAAAATTCACCGGCATAGCCACAAACAAAACTGCTAAATAAACAGACTAGAAACATCAACAAATGATAAATGTACCCCGACATCAAACCTTACCCGAGATCCTTTTGATTGGCATAGCCAGGTAAATAAATCCCTTTCTTATGACTCCGTTTCTTAATATTCCACAGAACTGTATCGTAAGGTGTCACACGTAATTCATCCATGTCAAACATCTTAGGATGCGTCCTCCCTAACTTCTGTAGCATAGAGTCCACGTCTTCATCTGTAAACTTGGAGGGGATTTCCTCGTGGGGTTTCCGGTCCTCCAGTCCCCGGGACTGTCCCCTCTCACCCTCCACAGCCTCCGGACTGAACTCATCACTCGTGTAATTACTCTTGTTTAACCTTTTCCTCAGCGCCGAGAAATGAGCGTCCGTATCCACAATTCTCGGAACTAGTTTCCTAACATGATAGGACGGTTTAGTGTATTCTATGATTTTTGGCAAAGTTTGTAATAAGTAGATACAAGTTAATAGAAATGCAAGTCCAACGATAGAACCAAACACACGGTGCTTTAACTTCATAGTAAAGATGACCACTCCCCGCCTCACAAGATACCAGCAGCACCCTTATAGATAGGGACCATGCTTCTGTAACTCAGCGCCCGACACTGATGACATCCACGGCCTGTCACTCAACCACAACTTACAGCACGCCCTCCTGGGAAGGCGTTCAACTAAAAACTGCCTCAACTTCTGTTTTGCTAATTATTTTTAAGCTTCACGTAGATCCAGTCAGTTGTAAAAGTTAAAATATATCAAACCACAGAATGAAACACACAGGTAAATTACGGCAAGTAGATAGAGACATTAATCCATTTAAAAAAAAAAAAACTATCAAAGTTAAGCCATCAGAATCCCTGCACTTCAACACGCGCTATTTAACTCGTGCTGTTCTAGGTTTGCGGTCGATTGAATCTACCAAAGTGACGAATGCATATGCCTGGCTTCGAAGGTAAACTGTACGTAAATATCTGTCATAAACGTCAAATATTCTATAAAGTATTTTTTCCACTATATCGAGATCAATACGAAAGAATATGATATGTAATTCAGGAGTTTTCACACTCTCCAGTGTTAACAAAGTACTATAATCCTCGAAGCACTGATGTCCATGCTCACGATAGTAAGACAAGGACAATGTTTGCGTGGACAGCAATAATGATACCACGTAATGTATATTTTGTACAAACAGAGTATAAACAATAAGTATATTACATGGCCCCGGGGTTGGTCACAACATGCACGTACATACAAAGGACAGTACAGAGAACGCGTCAGGCATTATATAGCCGCGACACAACATAGGCCCCCGAGAGGAGACGTAACATCAGATGTGCATTAAATTCTGTGAAGTTTCCCCTCCTTAATCATCACTTGATCCTGTGTAGAACAGTTTTAGTATATACTTTATCCATCACTAACAGTCTCACATTGTGTGAAATAGGAATTTTGTGTGATTATCTATTTTCAAACCCCTGTTCTCTGACTTAGGATGTTGGATAATCAACAGATTAACGAGCGGATCCACCTTAATTATGAAACCATAAACTGCAAAGAAAAAATATATATCTTTACACAGATATTCTTGTTCATGAGGTGTGAAAAGACATGCATGACAATGAACTCCTCTAAAATGCAGTTTATTCTGAGTTGAAAGTACATTTGTATCTGGTCAGCATTTATTAATAATATACAGCTATTCTTACTAGCTTCCCGATATCCGAACAAGTATGGATGTTGGTAAATGTAACTTAATCCACACAACTTTATCTATGATAAGTATAAGGATTAATTGAAATCATTCTTCGGTCCGGGATGAGGTAAAGATGCGCGTTGATGCGTAAGGGTTGCACTTTCTTTCCCGTGGATATCCTGTTAAGGAAAGCTTATTTGTTCGCGAGTGATTCAATATAATTATCCATTCAAAACAAAATGATAAACATTTTTTCCAGTCAAAAGACTTTCAATGATTCAAATATGTAAATATATAAAGATTATCATATCATCTGCATGATTTGGGATAAAATGTGTTTAAAGAAATACCTTTGACAATCAAGTCGATAATTAGGTAACGAATAAACAACCATGCGTCATCATAATTTGATGAATAAATTCATGGATTCTATCAAAGGAAAAAACTTTCATGGAAGTGAAGACATCGATCATCATATACGACACGTAGAGGGCGTCCGAATCGTTAATTCTTAATAATGGTAATAATTATCAATCACACCAAAAATCACAGGGGGCTATAGGTTCTCAGATAAACTCAATAATTAGGATTAAAAGGTTATGAAAGAATTGTTGCCGGCAGTTCCGATGACATCAAGTTATTTCGTTATTAACTTGCATATATACTCTCTGGGGGTGTCGGAGTGAAGGCTGAATCAGGATCAAAATTGACACAGTAGTCTAATAAAGCAGACAATTTAGTCCACCAGAAATCCTAACTCACAAAAATTATTTTTCAAGTAAAAATTATGTCTAAACTCTGTATGGACTAAAAAGAAAATAAATAAAATATACACTACTGGGAGACCCTTGCAAACCGAATCCAAGAAAAGCAAATGCATGGGTCGTCTGTTAACAATACAAAAAATATTACCGTATTGCCAACCAACAAGAAATCAGCGCTCAAAAGCTGCTATCAGGGTTAAAAAAGGAACAATCAAAGTTCACAGCGAACAAAGTTAACGGGACAATCAGAGTTAGCAGGGGACAATCAAAGTTCACAGGGAACAATTATGACTCACAGGGAACAATCAGAGTTAACAGGGGACAATCTGATGTTACAGGTAAGAATCAGAGTTAAAACTGAACAAACAGAGTTCATAGGACACAATCAGAGTTAACAGGAATCAGAGTTCACAGGGAACAAAATCAGAGTTCACAGGGAACAAAATCAGAGTTAACAGGGAACAAAATCAGAGTTCACAGGAATCAGAGTTAACAGGAACAATCAGAGTTAACAGACAACAATTAGAGTTCACAGACAATAATCAGAATAAACAGACAACAATTAGAGTTCACAGACAACAATCAGAGTTAACAGACAACAATTAGAGTTAACAGGGAACAATCAGAGTTAACAGACAACAATTAGAGTTCACAGACAACAATCAGAGTTAACAGGAATCAGAGTTCACAGGGAAGAAAATCAGAGTTCACAGGGAACAAAATCAGAGTTCACAGGAATCAGAGTTAACCAGGAGCAATCAGAGTTAACAGACAACAATTAGAGTTCACAGACAACAATCAGAGTTAACAGGAAACAATTAGAGTTAACAGAGAACAATCAGAGTTAACAGACAACAATCAGAGTTCACAGAAAACAATCAGAGTTCACAGACAACAATCAGAGTTAACAGGAAACAATTAAAGTTAAGAGACAACAATCAGAGTTAACAGACAACAATCAGAGTTCACAGAAAACAATCAGAGTTCACAGACAACAATCAGAGTTCACAGACAACAACCAGAGTTAACAGGAAACATTTAGAGTTAACAGAGAACAATCAGAGTTAACAGACAACAATCAGAGTTCACAGACAACAATCAGAGTTAACAGGAAACAATTAAAGTTAAGAGACAACAATCAGAGTTAACAGACAACAATCAGAGTTCACAGAAAACAATCAGAGTTCACAGACAACAATCAGAGTTCACAGACAACAATCAGAGTTCACAGACAACAATCAGAGTTAACAGGGAACAATCAGAGTTAACAGACAACAATTAGAGTTCACAGACAACAATCAGAGTTAACAGACAACAATTAGAGTTCACAGAGAACAATCAGAGTTAACAGACAACAATTAGAGTTCACAGATAACAATCAGACAACAATCAGAGTTCACAGAAACAACAATCAGAGTTAACAGGAAACAATTAACAGTGAACAATAAGAGACAACAATCAGAGTTAACAGAGAACAATCAGAGTTCACATGGAAAACAATCAGAGTTCACAGGGAACAATCAGAGTTCATAGGAAACAATCAAAGTACACAGTTCACAGGGAACAAAATCAGAGTTCACAGGGAACAAAATCAGAGTTAACAAGGAACAATCAGAGTTAACAGACAACAATTAGAGTTCACAGACAACAATCAGAGTTAACAGACAACAACTAGAGTTCACAGAGAAAAATCAGAGTTAACAGAGAACAATCAGAGTTCACAGACAACAATCAGAGCTCACAGACAACAATCAGAGTTAACAGGAAACAATTAGAGTTAAGAGACAACAATCAGAGTTAACAGACAACAATCAGAGTTCACAGAAAACAATCAGAGTTCACAGAGAACAATCAGAGTTCACAGACAACAATCAGAGTTCACAGACAACAACCAGAGTTAACAGACAACAAACAGAGTTAACAACAAAGAGTTAACAGAGAACAATCAGAGTTAACAGACAACAATCAGAGTTCACAGACAACAATCAGAGTTAACAGGAAACAATTAAAGTTAAGAGACAACAATCAGAGTTAACAGACAACAATCAGAGTTCACAGAAAACAATCAGAGTTCACAGACAACAATCACAGTTCACAGACAACAATCACAGTTCACAGACAACAATTAGAGTTAACAGAGAACAATCAGAGTTCACAGACAATAATCAGAGTTCACAGACAACAATCAGAGTTCACAGACAACAATCAGAGTTCACAGACAACAATCAGAATTCACAGACAACAATTAGAGTTAACAGACAACAATCAGAGTTCACAGACAACAATCAGAGTTAACAGAGAACAATCAGAGTTCACAGACAACAATCAGAGTTCACAGACAACAATCAGAGTTCACAGGAAACAATCAGAGTTCACTTCAAATGGAACAATTAAAGTTCACTGGGAACAATCAAAGTAAACAGTGAACAAACATAGTTAACATGGAACAATCAGAGTTTACAGGGAACCATCAGATTTCACAGAGAACAATCAGAGTTCACTTCACATGGAACAATTAGAGTTCACAGGGAACAATCTGAGTTCAAACACAACCATTAGATTTCATAGGGAACAATCAGAGTTCATAGGAAACAATCAAAGTACACAGGGAACAATAAATCACAGGGAACGATCAGAGTTAACAGCATACAGTCAAAATTCAAATGAAACAATCAGAATTCACAAGGAACAATACGGGTTCACAAAGGACAATCAGAAATCATTCAGTACAATCTGAGTTTACCCACAACCATTAGATTTGACAGAGAACAATCAGCATTCATAGGGAACAATCAAATTCACATGGAACAATCAGAGGACAATCAGAGTTCACAGGGAACATCAAAGTTCACAGGGAATATTCAGAGTTTACAGGGAACAATCTGAAATCATCGTGAACAGTCAGAGTTCACAGAAAACAATCATAATTCACAGGGAATAATCAGAGTTCACAGTAGCTGCAGAACTGTAGCTCTCCGAAAAAAATATTTTGACAGACCGGAGAGCTACAGTGCCACCTATTGTAAAAACTGGTTTGCACACAAAAAGTTGCGCTTAGTTCTGGATTAATTCTTCCAAACTCTTACCTCAATCGCGAAATAGATAGATAAAAAAATTTCCTTACTCCTCTACGAAGTACTCTCATTGTTTACATCTGCACGAAGTGCGTTGGACCGAATTATCTTGCAAACCAAAATGGCTGTATAAATAGACGAAATTTTCGATGATCTCAATTATAAGAAATGTTTTTTTTGTGAAAACAGTGAAAGAATGTGTTTGGAACACATGGTTAGTAATATTTCGAGATGACAGTTTAAAAACATGGAGAAATAAATCGAAAAACAGCGCACTATTTTGTGCGCGATAAATATACATTTTTTCAATGGGTGGCACTGTTGCTCTCCGGTCTGTTAATGCATTTTTGTCGGAGAGCTACAGTTCTGCAGTGACTGTGAACTCTGATTGTTCCCTGTGAATTCTGATTGTTTCACAGGATACAATCTGTGTTCACAGGGAACAATAGCGCTCAAGGGACAATCAGAAATCATCGGGAACAATCTGAGTTTACACACAACTATTAAAATTCACACAGAACAACCAGAATTCACAGAACACAATCGGAATCAGGGGCGTAGCAATTTTTTTCCCAGCCTTACTTATACTATAGGAAATGTTAATTGAAAGCCTGGTTGTCCCCCCCCCCCCCACTTTTAGACTTTTAGTGATGTACCGAAAATGTAGTATTAGAATTGGTACTAAAAAGTAGTTGATATTGAAAAAAAGTTAACCTACACCACCACCCCCCCCCCCACCCCCCCACGAAATAGGATTTTCGACTTTGGGCAAGTTTTTTCCCTTTTTTTTTTTTTTTTTTCACAGGGCTGTTTTGCTTGTCAACTTTTTCAGGTAAGTAGAAAAAAATTTTCTCTGGCTGGCCCCCCCCACTTTCAAAAACGATGCTACGCCACTGGGAATTCACAGG